GAGTTGTAGTTACTGGGATTTATAGTTCATCTACAATCAAAGAGCATTCTGAACATCACCAATGACAGAATTGGGGCAAACTTCCCACACAGAACCCCCATGACCAACAGAAAATACTTAAGGCCATCCAGTCCAACTCCCTTCACCAGGACAAGAAAATGTAATCAAAACCCTCCTGACAAAGAGCCATCCAGCCATAGATATACAGTATATTCTGGCGTATAAGACTACTTTTTAACCCAAGAAAATCTTCTCAAAAGTCAGGGGTCGTCTTATATGCGGGTGTAGTCTTATGCAACAGTCAGAACTGACCACGGAACAACAGACTGGTTCAAGATTGGGAAAGGCGTACGGCAAGGCTGCATCCTCTCACCCAACCTTTTTAACTTGTATGCAGAACACATCATGCGATGTGCGGGGCTGGATGAATGCAAGGCTGGGGTGAAAATTGCTGGAAGAAACATTAACAACCTCAGATATGCAGATGACACCACCCTGATGGCCGAAAGTGAGGAGGAGCTGAGGAGCCTTCTAATCAAGGTGAAAGAAGAAAGCGCAAAAGCCGGGTTGCAGCTAAACGTCAAAAAAACCACGATTATGGCAACAAGAATGATTGACAACTGGAAAATAGAGGGAGAAACCGTGGAGGCCGTGACAGACTTTGTATTTCTAGGTGCAAAGATTACTGCAGATGCAGACTGTAGCCAGGAAATCAGAAGACGCTTACTTCTTGGGAGGAGAGCAATGTCCAATCTCGATAAAATAGTAAAGAGTAGAGACATCAGACTGGCAACAAAGATCCGTCTAGTCAAAGCCATGGTATTCCCTGTAGTCACCTACGGATGTGAGAGCTGGACCTTAGGGAAGGCTGAGCGAAGGAAGATCGATGCTTTTGACTGTGGTGTTGGAGGAAAGTTCTGAGAGTGCCTTGGACTGCGAGAAGATCCAACCAGTCCATCCTCCAGGAAATAAAGCCCGACTGCTCATTGGAGGAAAGATACTAGAGACAAAGTTGAAGTACTTTGGCCACATCATGAGGAGACAGGAAAGCCTAGAGAAGACAATTATGCTGGGGAAAGTGGAAGGCAAAAGGAAGAGGGGCCGACCAAGGGCAAGATGGATGGATGGCATCCTTGAAGTGACTGGACTGACCTTGAGGGAGCTGGGGGTGGTGACGGCCGACAGGGAGCTCTGGCGTGGGCTGGTCCATGAGGTCACGAAGAGTCGGAGACGACTGAACGAATGAACAACAACAACATCATGATCTGATCACCATGCTCAATATATCCCATATATGTTGGGAGTCGTCTTATACCCCCAGTCGTCTTATATGCCGGAATATATGGTAGATAGATTATATATGATTCACACACACACAGATATAGTATCATAGATTTGAAAGGGACCCCTAAAGGAGGACAATGATATGCTGCATGTTCAGAGTGGGCAAACCAGACAATCTCCACATCACCACTGACAAAGAAACAGCAAGAAATACTATTTACCCACAAGCTTAAAGAAGTTACATATATTAGAAAGCAACACTTTCTCATTACTTTATTTTCCAGATCATCAGACTGGGCCACGGTAACATGTGGCAGGGGACAGCTAGTCTGTATAAATAAAAATGTAATGTTCGTTTGTGGGATTAACAAAACTCAAAAACCACTGGGGGCAGGCCCGTAGCCAGGATTTCGTTTTTTTTGGGGGGTTTCGGGGGGGCTGAGTTTTGGGGGGGGGGTCTGAGTCTGAGTGAAAGAGGGTCTAGCCTAGCAAACCTTTTGTATCATTACCCCAATACCCCCCTGCATATGGGATATATTGAGTATGGTGATCAGATCATGATATGAATATCAAAATATATAGAACATACAAAACATACACACGTGCCCATACGTACAATAAAACCATATATGAATACAAGGTAATCTTAATAGTATTCGATTTAAAACTGCCTTGAGAGTGACCAAGAGGAAGCCTGAGCAGCACAATGGGGAGAGAGAGAAGCCGAAGACTATCCCTCTCTTTGAACCCAAGGAATGCAAATACAAATATAAATCAACACCAAGGAATGCAAATATAAATACAAATCAACACATATCCTCCTCTTCAACTGATAATGTGTTCCAAACCCACCTCCTCCCCCCTCCCCTGGTTTTAGCTCCAATACCAACAGAAAATAGATTCTCTATACTGACGGAAGATTTCCCTGAGATGGGATATATTGAGCATGGTGATCAGATCATGATATGAATAAACGTAACAGTTTAAATAATGTACCAGTAAGGCCTTCTCGCGGACCACCCTGAGAATTTCGGGGGGGGGGGGGGGCTGAAGCCCCTCAACCCCTCAAGCCCCTCCCCCCGGCTACATGCCTGACTGGGGGAATTGACACCAAATTTGGACACAATACATGTATCAGGCCAACAAGTGACCATCACTCATAAAAACACTGATAAACACAGTGGAAGAGACTTAAAAAGCAAAAAAAGAAAACACATTACAATGCATGCACAAATATATACACACAGATACATACAAACACAACACATGACTACAGCAACACATGGCAGGGGATGTCTAGTTGAATATAAAGTTTCAAGTTTAGTCACTATAGCTAATAGCTGTTTGAAAAACCTTTCCATCATAAAGCAAAACTATAAATTAAGGGTGTATGCGGATGACGTGTTGTGCATTGTGGAGGACCCACTAGAGAAAATCAATGATTGGCTTCAAAAAATTGAAAATTATGGACGATTGGCAGGCTTTAACCTAAATAAGCAAAAAACAAAACTCCTGGTTAAAAATATAGACAAAAAATCAAAAGAAACTCTACAAGAAATTTCAGGTATAAAAATTGAAAATAAAATCAAATATTTAGGAATATACGTCACACCAAATAATATCAATTTAATAAAACACAATTATATTCCCCTATGGAAGAAAATACAGCAAGACTTGGAAAAATTGAAATATCAAAATTTCTCCCTGCTGGGAAGAATAGCCATAATTAAAATGTCAATACTACCTAGACTTTTATTCTTATTTCAAGCGCTTCCAATACTAAGAAATGAACATCTATTTAAAAAATGGAATAGAGAAATCTCCAAATTCATATGGAAGAACAAGAAACCCAGAATAAGCATCAAAATCCTAACGGATGAAAGGAAGCGAGGAGGGTTGGGGCTTCCAAACTTAAAACTATATTACGAGGCATGCAACCTTGTGGCAATTAAAGAATGGGCGATGTTAAAAAATGATAAACTGCTAACGCTAGAGGGCCATGACCTAAGGTCGGGATGGCATAGTTACCTCTGGTATAATAAAAGGAAAACGGAAAAAAATTTCAATAATCATTTTATTAGAGCCGCACTCATTAAGACATGGGAAAAATACAAATTTAGATGGTATAAGAAAACCCCAAATTGGATATCCCCTATCGAGGCGAGACATAAAAGAGAATTAGGCGACAAGAATTGGCTAACATATCAACAAATATTGAAATACAATACAGAAAGGAAGCTAATACTTAAATCTCTAGAAGAAATTAAAACAATAAACAAAAATATAACATGGTTCCAGTATCTCCAAATACAACAGGGTTTTAGAGAAGATGCAGAGATGGGTTTCAATCAAGAAAAGGGAACATGGGAAACAATACTGGAAAAAAACAAAAAATTAATAAAAATATTATATACACAATTACTAAAATGGTCAACAGAAGAGGAACAGGTCAAGAATTGTCAAATTCAGTGGGCCAAAGATTTAGGCCATAATATATTAATGTCCCAATGGGAAAATATATGGAATAAAAAGATTAAATACATGCTAGCCAGTGAATTAAAAGAAAATTGGTATAAGATGTATTATAGATGGTATTACACCCCAGAAAAATTATCTAAATTCAATAAAGGAATATCAGATACATGTTGGAAATGTGGCAAAGAAAAAGGAACTTTCATTCACGTATGGTGGGAGTGTAAAAAAATTAAGAAATATTGGATTGATATTCACGTTATTACGCAAAAAATATTAAAGATAAAATTTCCCAGACTACCAGAGATTTACTTATTGGGCATACTAAATTCAAAATTTGATAAAAACCAAGAGAGACTCATGTTCCTGCTAACCGCCGCTGCAAGAATTTTATTGGCAAAATGTTGGAAACAAAAAGAGGTGCCAGAAGCAAATACATGGATTATCAAAACACTTGAGATAGTGCAAATGGATTCACTGTCCTAGAGATTAAATAGCAGTAGAAAGAAAATAAATTGGTCAGGACTCAAGGACTACTGTGTAGAAAAGAAGATTCCACTGATGATAGATCTGTCCAGTGTATAAAGAGGAAATGATTAAGAAGAGATGTCAAAGAAGCTGAGAAGAAAGAAGAAGCGAAACTCTCAACGACTCCTTGAGGCTCGGGAAGTCATTTTTATTTTAAACTCCCTTTTACCTTGTGTCTTTTCCCCCCCCCCCCCCCCATTCCATGATCCCATAACCCCTACCCTAAGTCACCTTGTCCATATCAGTTCCCCCCACTCCCATTTTTGTCTCCCCCACCTTTTCAACCCCCCCAATGTATATATATGTTATGTATTGCAAAATCACAATAAAAATTTATATATATATAAAAAAAGAAAAACCTTTCCATCATGAATGTGTCTGATCCTTTTCAACTCTTAGTTCTCAGCTGAAATTTCAGTAAGTTATTCATCTACTATGCAAACGAATATTTTCTTTTGTCTCACCTGACCCTACTGTTAATCAATTTCTCTGCATAACCTTAAATTCTACTGTTACAAAAGAGGCTATAAAAATCCCAGTTCATAACTCATATTGTTGGGCTCAGTCTTACCAGTCAGATCTCTCCATGAACATTCTGTGACTAAAGGACCAAGCCAGAAGTATAAAGCCAGGGCAAGAGAGAGACTGTTTGAAAGAAGCGTGATGGATGAAGTCTGACAGGAAACATAAAACCATTTCAAAGCAATGTCCCTTACCTGAGACCAAGCAGATGAAAACCAGCTGCCCTGATTTACATGTGAATATGCAGGGTGCCTGGGACATGGATTTAAGAGGCACACTTTTTCCAGCTCTACGTTTGGTTTTTGTAGGTGAGAACATTTTCGAGGAGCAAGTTCTCTATACTTCCCAGAAACATACTTTTCTGCACAGTTCAGGGTTCTCCTCTGCATACCCTTTCCACATGTAACAGAGCACTAGAAAATAAATGACATTGGAATGACAATACGTTAATTAATCCATAACGATTGTAAGGCTAGCTCAGTGTCTATGGCTTATTCTTTGCTTTTATCAGGTCCTTGCCATCCAGTTAAGCAGCAGCAGCAATGGGATCCATAATCAACATAGGACACAAAATAGAGAAAAAAAATGGAAAGAAGTGTTTGAATTACCGTATATACTCGAGTATAAGCCGACCCGAATATAAGCCGAGGTACCTAATTTTACCACAAAAAACTGGGAAAATGTATTGACTCGAGTATAAGCCAAGGGTGGGAAATGCAGCAGCTACTGGTAAATTTCAAAATAAAAATAGTTACCAATAAAATTTCTTTAATTGAGGCATTAAACGGTTCTGGCCCAAGTTACCTATCTGACCGCATCTCTGCCTATGAACCCACCAGGACTTTGAGATCTTCCGGGGAGACCCTGCTCTCGATCCCACCTGCTTCTCAAGCTCGGCTGGCGGGGACGAGAGATAGGGCCTTCTCGGTGGTGGCTCCTCGGCTGTGGAACGCCCTTCCTATGGACATTAGACTAGCACCATCTCTAATGGTATTCCGCAAAAAGGTGAAGACCTGGCTGTTTGAGCAGGCGTTCGAATAATTAGTGAAATGATTGGTTAATGAACACTGGAATGGAACAATGGATGACGAATCTGGAACATGTTTTGATGACGAGACGACAGTGAATGGGTATTGTAGTAACTGTTTATTAATTGTGTAATGTGTTAGGTTGTTAACTGTTTCTATACTGTAGCACTGAATTTTTGCTGTTCGTATTTGTTGTGAACCGCTGTGAGTCGCCTTCGGGCTGAGAACAGCGGTATATAGTAAGGTAAATAAATAAATAAATAAATAAATTAGTAGAATAAATGTTTTTGAATATTTACATAAAACTGTAATTTAAGATAAGACTGTCCAACTCTGATCAAACCATTATTATAACCTTCTTCAGTGTAAATGTGCATACATATCCTTCCAATAATAATAAAGAGAGCAAAATAATAAATGTGATAAAAATAACTGAGTAAAATAATGGAAATGTAATAATAATAATAATAATAATAATAATAATAATAATTAGAATAAAATAATAAATGTAATCAAAACAGTAATATATAGAGTAAAATAATAAATGTAGTAAAATAATAATAAAGTAAAATAGTGTAAATGTAATAATAGAGTAAGATAATAAATGTAATAAAATAATAGTTATAACAGAGTAAAATAATAAATAACCTTGACTCAAGTATAAGCCGAAGGGAGCTTTTTCAGCCTAAAAAAGGGACTGAAAAACTAGGCTTATACTCGAGTATATACAGTATTCATACTCTATCAAAAAGTCTACCAGTACGCGTCTTCTCTTTTCAGTCACAATCAGTTTCAGTATACATCCAAAATTAGAAAATCTTATATGTGGTTCCCAAAAAGAGTCTGAGGTCCCTTCCCCACTGCCCACATCCCAGGATGTGAACTCAGGTTATAGTATCCTAGATTATCTGGCAGTGGAGACTCATATAATCCAGTTGAAAGCAGATAATCTGAGATCAGATCCTGGGATATATGGCAGTATAGAAGGGGGCTGAGAGTAATGGAACAGGTTACCCTGTAACAAAAAGGGTGTGTTGCAGTCCTTGCTCCCTTTTGCTTGAGTCTTTCAAAATCTTCAAGAGTGTAAATGTGGGCTGCTTCAGATGTTGGTATGCTCAACTTCCACATGGACTATTGCATGTCAATGGCAAGATTATGCATAGTTTCACATTAGATGACTGTTGTGGAATGGAAGAAAAGGCACCAAACTCAGTCCTGTATGGGTTGTTGTAGGTTTTTTCAGGCTATATGGCCATGGTCTAGAGGTATTTTCTCCTGACGTTTCGCCTGCATCTATGGCAAGCATCCTCAGAGGTAGTGAGGTCTGTTGGAAGTAGGAAAATGGGTTTATATATCTGTGGAATGACCAGGGTGGGACAAAGGACTTTTGTCTGCTGCAGCTAGGTGTGAATGTTTCAACTGACCACCTTGATTAGCATTTAATGGCTTGGAAGTGCCTGAGGGAATCTTTTTTTTGTTGAGAGGTGATTTGATGTGCCTGATTGTTTACTCTCTGTTGTTTTGCTGTTGTAATTTTTGAGTTTTTTTTAATACTGGTAGCCAGATTTTGTTCATTTTCATGGTTTCTTCCTTTCTGTTGAAATTGTCCACATGCTTGTGGATTTCAATGGCTTCTCTGTGTAGTCTGACATGGTGGTTGTGAGAGTGGTCCAGCATTTCTGTGTTCTCAAATAATATGCTGTATGTATAACAATTCCTTTCAGGAGACAACTAGTGCTATTGCCATAACTATCATTTGGAATCCCAAAGGTAATCCATCTTTTCTTTCTTGATAAATTTTTGCAGTTATGAATAAGACAGAAGAAAAAGCAAGAAAATGGAAAGTATTAGCAATCTGTGTTGTTTGATCCTTTGTGACATTCCATATTAAGGTAAAGTGATTGCATAATAAAGCCTCATTTGACAGCACTCACATATTCATCAGTAGACTACAGCCTCATCACAAAGACCCGGCAAAGTGTCCCGTGTGGCCTGGCTTCAGGGAGAAAAGAGAGGGGCAGCAAGACGAATCTGTAGCCCCATGAACAGCTCCCCCTCATTGACGTTTTCCCCATCACATGGGCGAAGCTTCATCCTTCCATAGAGGGTCTGTGCTTGGTGCATTGGAGCCAGCACTACACCGGGAGCCTCCTATTTCCGTTATCTTGGCAGCCACCCCGCCACATTGACACTGAAATACAACACCACCTGAGCTCTGTGAGTGCGGTTTTTTTCCGAATGAAGTAGAGAGTGTTTGAGGACTGGGACATCCGTAGGGACACCAAGGTGCTTGTTTATAAAGCTATTGTCCTCTCAACCCTGCTTTATGCCTGTGAGATGTGGACTATCTACAGACACCACATGCAACTCCTGGAATGATTCCATCACCGCTGTCTCCTGAAAATCCTGCAAATCTCTTGGGAAGACAAACGGACAAATGTCAGCGTGTTGGAAGAAGCAAAAATCACCAGGTCTGAAGTTATGGTCCTCCGCCATAAACTCTGCTGGACTGGCCACGTTGTCTGAATGCCCGACCACCATCTCCAAAAGCAGTTGCTCTACTCCGAACTCAAGAACGGAAAACAGAATGTTGGTGGGCAGGAAAAGAGATTTAAAGATGGGATCAAAGCCAACCTTAAAATCTCTGGCATAGAGAACTGGGAAGCCCTGGCCCTTGAGCACTCCAGTTGGAGGTCAGCTGTGACCAGCAGTGTTGCAGAATTTGAAGAGGCACTAATGGAGGGTGAAAGAGAGAACTGTGCCAAAAGGAAGGCGCATCAAGCCAACCCTGACCGAGATCGCCTTCCATCTGGAAACCAATGCCTTCACTGCGGGAGAAGATGCAGATAAAGAAAAGGGCTCCCCTGTCACCTACGGACCCACCAGTACACTGATCTTGGAAGACTATCCTACTCGGACAATGAGGAATTGCCTAAGTAAGTAAGTAAGTAAGAGCCTATGTTGTGGGGAAAACCTCTGATGATGCTTTGATCCTGGTTGAGGATGGGGCCTCCGCCGGAAGTCATATGACATTGTGTGATGGCTGGTGCGGGGCTCCGTTCAGAAGACAGGATGAAAGCATCCTAGGATACTTTCTTAGGTGAGTGTGATGAGGTTGTATGTTTAAAAATAAAGTCTGTGCTAGATTGCAATTGTGTTTCAAAATCTTGCTTTCAGTAAAAATGCAGCAGAACTATCTGTTTCTTACCTCAGTCCATGCAGATACAAACCACTGTAGCTTCTTGTGTTTATGGCAACGCTTCAGGAGGCAGGTTTCTTGCATTTTTGGTCTAAGTTCTGCTACACAGGCAGCATCAGGCAAAAGCGGAGCCCAGTGAGACAGGCTGGAGCTTTTGCACACAACCACTCTTTTTCTCCAGCCTTTGCCACATGTCCGAGAGCACTGAGCAAGAGAAAAGGAAGGCAAACATTTGGGAAGTTAATGCATTCCCAAAAGAAGGAAACAATTAATTATGCTGGCCATACATAAATGTAGAGCTTTAATCAATAGCACCAGTTATAATTTAAGGTACCTTGACAATATTCCAAGTAAGGAAAAAAAACCTGCCAAAATCGTTACTAAGATTCTTCTCATGTGTACCTCAAGTTAAGAACACAAGAAAGCTCCTCTGGAGGAGACAAGAGGATCACCCAACCTACCACCAGTCACAGGCTTATGAGAGAGGCCACAAACTTAGCACCAGGGCTAGTTTTTCTCTAAATGTAAATTGGCAGGGGCGGCTCAACCCATTACGCAAAGTAAGCAGTTGCAGTATAGTTGATTTTGCCCAGGGGCGCTCTTGAGGCGCTCTTGGGGGAAAATAGACTTTGACATATGTGAGTTATAGTTACTGGGATGTATAGTTCACCTATAAAGAGCATTCTGAACTCCACCAATGATGGAACTGAACCAAATATGGCACACAGAACTTCCACGACAAACAGAAAATATATATCAGTGATTGGTTGGGGGGGGGGGGCAAAATACTGTTTGCTTACTGTTGAAAATTACCTAGGGCCGCCTCTGGTAATTGGTAATGAGATTTGCTCAGAAGTGTAAAAAGTTATATATCTATATCTAAGTATTTGATCATTGGTCATTGTCCAGGGGATACTGGAGTTGATGGTCCAAAACTTTCCAAATAAATAGATACTGTCAATGTCTAGGTCCATCATGAATTATGAGAAATTTACTTCCGTATTAGGAATGTCTGGAAAAATGTGAACTACATTTGTCATGGTTCTCAAAAGTGCCAGACAGTGATACAAATACTGATGACGGGATTGGGAGATATATTGGATTCTAGTCTAAAAAAAGCAAAGAAGCAAGGAGGCTGCCAGTATAATCATCGATGACAGCAGTGGGAGTGGGATGACAAGTGGGTTAGAGTTAGAATCAATCTATTTTTTTGGTATTTTTCTTTTTTTTAAGCAAATTTAATATTTTTATGAGTGGAGTTGAATATATATAGTAGATCCACCTTGCCATTCTACCACATGCCTGCAATAATCACATAGTTGCACTGCAGACATGCAAAAGGAAACATGTAAAATGAGATGGAACCTACAGATGTAATACTCATACTTCATGCATTCCTTGAATCTGAAGAAAACTTATAAAGGGATGATATGGAAATATAAAGCACCTCAAATATAAACAGAAGTATTGTCGAAGGCTTTCATGGCCAGAATCACTGGGTTGTTGTAGGTTTTTTCGGGCTATATGGCCATGGTCTAGAGGCATTCTCTCCTGACGTTTCACCTGCATCTATGGCAAGCATCCTCAGAGGTAATGAGGTTTGTTGGAACTAGATATATAAACCCTTTTTCTTAGTTCCAACAGACCTCAGTACCTCTGAGGGTGCTTGCCATAGATGCAGGCGAAACGTCAGGAGAGAATGCCTCTAGACCATGGCCATATAGCCCGAAAAAACCTACAACAACCCTATAAACAGAAGTGATAGCTTCTACATGCATCCCTGGTAATAATGTTTGTTTAAGAAAATACTCCTTTCAGTATCCATGAACTATAAAGTTAAAAGTTTCACTACTCATCCCTATATGTTTAGGAAATTGTAAAAACCTACAAAATATTAAGTTGTGAAAATTGTTTAGTATTTTGATTTCCGGCCGCACCTGAACTACAGCTGAAAGCAGGAGGTGTTTGGTGCTTAGCAGGCCTCCGTGCTAAGTCAGAAGATTTATGTTTTTCTATAACAATAGCTCAATGGGTTAAACCACTGAGGTAATGAAATTGCTGACCAAAAGGTCAGTGGTTTGAATCCAGGGTGTAGGGTGAGCTTCTGCTGTCAGCCTCAGCCTTGCCAACCTAGCAGTTTGAAACAGCAAATGTGAGTAGATCAATGGGTACCACTTTGTCGGGAAGGTAATGGTGCTTCATGCAGTCGTGCTGGCCACATGATCTTGGAGGTTTCTGTGGACAATGCTGGCTCTTCAACTTAGAAATGGAGATGAGCACCACCCCCCAGAGTTGGACACGACTAGACTTAATGTCAAGGGGAAACCTTTACCTATGAGCCATCTATCTGAATTGTGTGATAAACTACTCTCGACTTGCCATAGACTTGAACAGAACAGATGAGAATGCAATTTGTCAAAATTTAATTTTTAAAAGCCACCAAACTTGTCCAGAATGACAGATTGAGAAGGAACACCTAAGTACTACCGCTAAAGAAGGGGCATTACACCATTTTAGTTTATTTCCCATGAAAACATTAATTTTATCAACGTCCAACATGGAACTATTAATCTGAATATGCAAAATGGAGGGATATATCTTGTGACCGCATAGTGTGGAATATGTGCTACTTTTTAGAAAGGTGTTTCTATTTCACTTCCTCATCCAGAGTATAAATGTACACCTGAAAAAACTTACATAACTTTAACTGGGATGACGAAGACCTCAAAACTTTTAAATATTTTTATGCCTTGACTCAATTAGTCAAAATGTAGAACTGGGTCAAGGCATAAAAACAAAGATTACTAATAGTTGGAAAGGTAGCTATAAAAGAAGTAGATAAGATCTTTACGTATAACAAGATATTATTGAATACCAAAATCCAGATCATCATCAGTATTTCTAATTTCAATGTACATATGTGAAAGTTAGAAAGTGAAGAATGTGAACAGTAAGAAAATCACTAGCTTTAGAGGCCAGTTTGATAGATATCATGAATCTCTAAAAATATAAATGAATAGGTTGTAAAGCAGTGGTTCCCAATCTTTTTGGACCAGGAACCTCTTGACCAGGGAACACTTTGACCAAGGATCACTTTGTCCAGGGACCATTCTCCAACATTAAGTACCAAAAGGGTTATGAATCAGTTTGTGGTCCACTTTAGATTTGGATTATTTGGGGTGCTGATTCAGAAAATTGCATTTGATAGGCCACATCAGCTCTAGTTTCTGATACAGAACATATGTCATCCTGTAGTTGCCATCTGCTTGCCCACAGAAAACCATATTTAATAATCTAGAGCCGCGGACCTTATGTTAGGTCTCATGGTCCACAGGTTGGCAACCACTGTTTAGCATAAATGAAACCTGAACTCTCATTGAAGCTAAAATAACTGAATAACATTACAAGGGAACATGACTTGTTAAAAAAAATCACAATTTTCCATAGTGAAACTTAGAACAACAACAACAAAAAAGACAATAGGAAGATAATTTGGTTTAAGCAACAATGCCATAGCCCTCTTGCATTTGCAAGATCAAAGTAGGGTCTCTTGGAGGACTTTCTTTTACTGGGCTGACATAAACTGAAGCCAATTGATAGTATTGAAAAATGAGTTTAAATTGTATATATGATGTCTTAAGTTTACTTAGAAGCTAAGGACATTAGTACATCAACAAATGGTTGCAGGTAATGTTACCACTAGGCTTGGGCGATCCAGTTCGTTAATTTCGTTATTCGTTATTGATTCATATTTAAATTAGCTTACGATCCAATATCGAGCCATGCAGGAATAGTGTGAGGAGTAATTAAGAATCGAAACAATTTTTCCCAATTTTAGTAATTATTTCGTCATTATTTCGTAATTATTTCATAATTATTTTCATATGTCTGGTGCATTCTATATTATATTATATTATATTATATTATATTATATTATATTATATTATATTATTATATATTATATTATAATTGTATATTATAATATAATATAATAATATATAATATAATATATAATAATATAATATACAATAATATAATATAATAATATTATAATAATATAATATAATATAATATATATAATATAATAAATTATTATATTATATTATATATATTATATTATTATAATAATATAATAATATAATAATATAATAATATAATATAATATAATATAATATAATATACAATAATATAATATAATATACAATAATATACAATAAAATATACAATAATATAATATAATATAATATAATATAATATAATATTAGTTGTTGTTTGTTTTATCACACCAACAGTCAACAACAGAGGGAGAGGGAAGCTTCAGAAGTTCCAGCTGTCCCATTTGGAAGTTTTTTTTAGCATATTGCGCAATCGCGTCCGCCATTATCGTATCGATTCTTAATTTACGAAATTTTGGAAAGTCCTCAGAATTTCGAAACGCTAGCGCACCCTAGAAACGAAACGAGTTTAGAATTTTTTTCTTGATCGCCCAAGCCTAGTTACCACAGCTCCTTTAAGACCAACATAGGTAATAATCCTGTGGATTTGTGAAGTGCCAAAAATTTCACCAGTCTTCCTTAACCAGTCACATTGATTAGGAAAATTGGGAGTAGTTTAATACATCTAAGCGGCAGAAGGATGTGATGTAGGGTTTCCTGACATGTACCATGAAGGAAGAATGTTCTACCCAGACAATGGCACTCCACAACTGCAGAACTTTACTATTATTCTATGTATAGGGAATTTATTTTTTCTGTTATTCACTGGTCAATTGACAAGTGCATATCGTTGTACTTGTGGGTATATATTAGTTTGGTGTATAATCAGGAACCCATTTACTTAATATGCACTATAACAAGGCATTTGTATCGTCAGTGCAGAGTTAAGGTTTGTTTTGCAGAACATTCGTTTCTATCCAATGAGCAGAATACATGTAGATTTTTCTACATCAATTAAACAGAGATCTGACAAGAGATTAGCAGATGTTGACATTTGGTTTGAGATCCTGGGACAAGCCAACTAATAGCACTGAATCTCAAAGTCATGGAGGAATACTTCCACTATTTGAAGAACACATCTGTGAATCTAATTTACCTCTGACCAGGGACCTGTGCTCCAAGCAGGTGGACAGCCTTGGGTGTTGCAAAGCTCCCTCTTGACTGGGGCAGGGAGTCGACAAAGGGAATCTGATACCCATTCTGGCTTGTGTTGAATTTTCTGCATGCAGCGAACATATCGAAACCTTTCCCCTGCTCCACAAGTCAAGCTACATTCACTCCAGTTGCCAATAGACCAGCTACAAAAAGAATCAGAGAGATATTGTACATTTTAGAACATTACAGCTTTGTCTAGGATGATAGGAACATAATTTATTTTCAGGTAACACATTTGTGTTCTAGCTTTTCTCTAAAGCAGGTATTCTCAAAGTGTACCCCGTGGAGCCCTTGGGGCTCCATGATTCCCTCCTCCCCCCCTTCTAAGCTTTCCCTCCCCTTTCTTGCTCCTCCTCCTCCCCAACTTTGCTTGCTGCCAAAAGGCTTTTTTCCTCACCATCCTCACCCCAAAAGCCTTTTCCCCTCATGGGGGCCTAACGAGACCACGCCGCGACCCCTCCAGAATTGCCAAACGACCCCTCTGGGGGTTGCAACCCCCAGGTTGAGAACAGCTGGCTTAGGCTAATGACTGTGGCATTTGGTTAATGACCATGGTGAGATTTAATCATGGGTGTCCTGGCTCATGGCTCCTGACCTTAATATTCTACATCTCTCTTAACTGATTTTTCTTCAATTGTAGCCTTGTTTAATTGTAGGATCTCTGTAAAAACCATGTATGCATGATCTGCTTCTATACTATAAGTGGTGCCACTATTTCTAATATTTACATTACTGCATTAAAATAGCAATTCCCCTATTATCCAACAAATGTATAATCTTAAGAATTTCAAGAAATCATTGTGTTGGATCAAAACTTGGCCATGCTTAGAGCAGACCCATGGAAATAGATGAGATTTAAACTAATCATAACTAACATGCTCAATTGTTTTGAGTAAGTCAAGCCTGATTAATGTTGAATCCAATTCATCAAACCTTAATTAACAAACTATACTTCAGAATGTAGCAATTGTAATCTGATTGATGTGGAAAATAGTATCATAGTAATGTAGTATACTTTGTTTGTATTAGCCACACCTCTTTCCTCAAACTCTTTATTATATCAAGTCTAAAATAAGTATATAATCTGAAATTGCAAGGAGAATTTCAAGTTGGTATTCCAAGATTTCCTCATCCATTTGCATTTCTTCAGAGATATTTGTTTGACTTCTGTTTTTTCTTTTGTTACAAGAATAAAATGCCAAGGCCCTGGATTCTTTAGAGCTGGGATTTTTAGACCTTTTCAATAGGCCTGTGCGGTTTCGTTCGTTAATTCGTTAATTCGTTATTAATTCGTTATTTTTGGCATTTCCGAAGCGATATCAAAACACATTTCCAAACCCGGAAGGGTTTTAAAATATCGAACCAGCAACCCCCATAGATTTAACGAGCTTCCGCTCGTTTCGTTAATGGGGTGGAGGCTGCTGGAGTGCTGGTGCCTGGGAGCCAATCCGGCGCTCCCAAGCAGTGCACTGTGGGTCCGTGGCTGTTTGTTTTTGATTGGCCGGCGAGCCCTTTCAAAGCGGCTCCGCGCGGCCGTAGCTCATTGCTGCAGAGGGCGAGGGAGTTTGCATTGGGTTGGCTTGGCTGCTAGCAACTGGATTGGATTCATTCCTTGCTGCTGTGAGTGCTGCTTGCTTCATTTGCTGTCTCCTGCCTGTGTTTGGTCCACATTTGGGCCATTTTTTGGTTAATTTTCCATTTTAAAATATTTTTTAATATTATTTTAATATTATTCTTAAAAAATACCAAAAATATTCTAAAAATTCGTTAATATTTACAAAATTTCGTAAATACCAAAACTTTTTTGGGGGAAAGTTTTGTAATTATTTTAAATATCGAAACAAAAAAACACCCCAATTACAAATCGATTTTAGAAACAATTTTTTTCTTGATCAAACAGGCCTGTGAAGCCCTTTTTGAAGCAAAAAATTCTCATGGAGCCCCCAAAAAATGTTTATCTATTATATCATATCATGCAGGGAAAAGCACAATCAAAACACCTCCAAGAGATGGCTACCTAACCTTTGTAATAATAATAATAGCAGAAACCACAGGGGCCATCTAGTCCAACTCTCTTCTGCCATGCAGGAAAAGCATTCCTTAGCAGTGGGAGGTGTAAGGAAGTTATTGAAACTAGGTATATGTATTTGAACTGTTTAACTATTTGTTTGGTAACAGTAGCTGAAAGCTAGAAATAACTGGTTGTATCCATTGTGGCGTTGCCAAGGAGACCAGGCAGAGGAGAGTGGAAAGTGGGCGGAGCCTAGCAAGAGAAATCCATCTGCGTTTTAAAAAGAAGCAGTTAGTTAGGGTTTGGAGTTCATAGTGAGCAGTCAAGAGAGAAGAGGGGAAGTAGAGAAGCAGTGTTTGTGAATAGTCTGAGGTTTCTTCAATCTAGGAAGGTTGAAGGAGGGAAACCTGATTAGTTTCATTAGTCAGAGAAGACTAAGTGAAGCTTGTTAGATCATTAGTTAGGAAAGAACTAGAGATCTAGGGTTTGATCAAGAAAGGATCAAACTGGAAGGCTATTCACCTCAGGAAACATTGTTTAAGAAAGTGCTTCACCACAGTAAAAGTCAATTACAAGTTGTATCATCCAGAAGTGTGAACTGTATTGTAAACCGAGTTACATTTAAAGTTCTATAAGTTCTCTAAGTTATTCCAAGTAAACCAACAGCCTGCAACCATACGCTTTGTTCAAAATAAACTTATTAACTTTTGTTTGAAGACAGTGTCCTCTCTATATATCTGCGTCTGGGGAACCAGTTCTCATCGGCATTACCTCTCGTTGGTGGCAGTTACCTGAATTACATCTATAATTATCTACACCTTTTATAAATTAGCAAACCTTTGGAGATTTAAACAGTATTAGGTGGAATACCTTCGCAGATTGGCCAGTGTTGCTAACCACAGTAAAACAAATCCCGTGCAAATTGGCGAAGTGGGATACTTTTACAAATTGGTGCCAGTGGTGTGGCAATCTATCTCAAATTGGTGACATTCGGTGGTATTAGAACGGTCATCCTCTTTACAGGAGGGAAATAGGGTTTTGGAAGTAAGGGGTCATGGCCTTGGAAAGGTTGAGAACTACCGGCCTAAGCAAATCAGTAGCTCAAAACACATCACAGTACCGATCCCATCTGTTATATACATTCAAAAAACGGTTAAGATTATTTTCATTACAAATTTCAACATCATAGATTATAAGGTGTGATTACATCATATACCCCCTCACCCCCTCCCCCTTGCCAGTACTGCTGTAAGGGAAATAATTCAGTATGACGGGCACTCCTTATCAGTCCTTCATCACATCTTGGTAAGTACACCTTGTTTAGACTCTTTCTTTTTATCTCTCCTGCTGCATTTAATAGCCACGTACACAATCTGCTTCTGACTCTGAACTTCTAATGAAATGCAGGCTGAATTCTAGGACATGTTACAGTCATATTTTCCCTTGTTCTTCTGTTTGAACAGATGTTCAAGCCGCTGACCTTAGGAACAGGTTTCAGGCTGCCCCAGGAATTTGCTCATGTTCCTTTCACTTCTCCCAGAATTACAGCCTGATATCAGACCTCAACATGGAATAGACGAGGGGATGATGACAGCTGATTGGCAAAGAGTGTGGAAAGAGAGAAACCTGGAGCAGTAACCTAAGTCTTCAGCAAGTGACCTAAAACATTCCCATCAACACTTTTGGATGTTCTGCTTCACAGCTCTTTTTTTATTTTTTTAAAAACCAGCTTATTGCTGCCAAAAATCATTAATTTACAGCACTTCATTTTATTTGTAAACCCTAACATGAAGCTATGTGTGCACTAGGTAAGTGGATGTTTTGTTAGTCTCCATGGAAAAATTGTACTCCATGAAGCATGCTACCAAATGCTACTGGATTATTTATTTATCGTGCCATCAGCAACCATACCATTGTATTACATTTCTAACAGAACAAAACAAACAAACAGATAAAAAACCCCACAAATTTTGCAAACTTGGTAGTCGATTAAGTGTCCTTTGACCAGTATCTGGCCACTTGGAGTGCCTCTAGTGTTGCCGCAAGGAGGTCCTCCATTGTGCATGTAGCAGGGCTCAGGTTGCATTGCAGCAGGTGGTCAGTGGTTTGCTCTTCTCTGCACTCGTATGTCATGGATTCAACTTTGTAGCCCCATTTCTGAAGGTTGGCTCTGCATCTCGTGGTGCCAGAGCGCCGTCTGTTCAGAGCCTTCCAAGTCGCCCAGTCTTCTGTGTGCCCAGGAGGGAGTCTCTCATCTGGTATCACCCACGGATTGAGGTGCTGGGTTTGAGCCTGCCACTTTTGGACTCTCGCTTGCTGAGGTGTTCCAGCGAGTGTCTCTGTAGATCTAAGAAAACTATTTCTTGATTTAAGTCGTTGACGTGCTGGCTGATACCCAAACAGGGGATGAGCTGGAGATGTCTCTGCCTTGGTCCTTTCACTATTGGCTGCTACTTCCCGGCGGACGTCAGGTGATGCAATACCGGCTAAGCAGTGTAATTTCTCCAGTGGTGTAGGGCGCAGACACCCTGTGATAATACGGCATGTCTCATTAAGAGCCACATCCACTGTTTTAGTGTGGTGAGATGTGTTCCACACTGGGCATGCGTACTCAGCAGCAGAGTAGCATAGAGCAAGGGCAGATGTCTTCACTGTGTCTGGTTGTGATCCCCAGGTTGTGCCAGTCAGCTTTCATATGATATTGTTTCTAGCGTCCACTTTTTGCTACTGGATACAACACCATGTTTAAGATTGATGACATTGATAATTTTACTAGTTCTATGTACATTTTCCTGGGAGTAAGGCCCATTAAACTCAAGGTGACTTATTTTCTGAGTAGAACTGAGACAAGATAAATTTGCACTATTAATCCCAGTGAACAGAAATCAAGTACAGATATTGTTTTCACAGCTGTGACAAGGAGCAGTTCTTACTATGACAATTAGGGGAGTGTCGAAGGTTTTCATGGCCGGAATCACTGGGTTGTTGTAGGTTTTTTCGGGCTATATGGCCATGTTCTAGAGGCATTTCTCCTGACATTTCGCCTGCATCTATGGCAAGCATCCTTAGAGGTAGTGAGGTCTGTTGAAACTAGGAAAAAGGGGTTTATATATCTGTGGAATGACCAGGGTG